AGTGATGTCTTATTTCTAGACCATCTTGGAGGAAAAAGTCATCCCCAAAACAACCATATTGAACCAAAGCAGTACACGACGCAAGATGTTCCCCTGGTGGGAAAATGAAGCAGGCAAAGTTTCTTAGCACAGTGAACTGCCATATTAAACCCCACAGCGATGGGTTTTAAATACAGTGGGCCACCTCTGTTTATGATGTCACTATTGAATTTGGAAGTCTCCAACAACTTCAGCGTTCATCTGTCTCTCTGAGAACATACTTGGCGCTCTGCTGATCTGGTTATGTAGGTTCCCTTGAAATTACATAATCCTTGCGGAGTCTATCGCAACTTAAATGAAGGAAAACAACAGCCATTTAAAAAAGAACTTTCCTGAAAAGTTAGTAAAGCACTTGCTGTTAAACGGGGTAAGTTCTGCCGTCCTCGCAAGCAAAACTCCTCTACAGCAAGGCCTTCTGTACCACATTAACACGCCGAACTCCTACACAAGTGGCGGAAGTTAACGTATGTACGTCGTGTCGTGCAAGAAGCAATTATTGAAGGCCCTGTTCCGATAGGAATTTTTTCACAGGCTCAGGCCATGTTGGATCAAGAAGGCCAAATCTTATGTCATCTATGGGAAAACATTTATTTTCTAAGCGCATCTGAAACAAAGTAACTTTCAACAGGGCATTTATTAAAGGCAATGACAAAAGACTTCAAATAAAAAGAATGCTTAATTATGACACAGTTACAGAAAACCCTTTACAGTTTCTTATTTACAGTCAAAACTACCGTGATTTGCATGTATCTACAGACTAAACTCCACAGTCTTTTTTACCTGTATTCTAATTTTTATATTAACTTTCCCTGGACCTTCATGACACCTCCTGTGCAACTGAGGTGGGTTTGCTGGGGGTTTTTTCATTCAAATATGAAATCTTACTGCGTGATTGTGAAAACATTATTCATTTTCCTTATTTGGAAACAGGAATTTTTTTCTAAAAAGTTTTTTGAAAATTAAAAAATACATCTATCTTTCGTTCACTTGTGCCAGAGGTGCTAAATACTATTATTATCACTCAAAATGTATTTTCCACTAATCCCACTCTCAGTCACAACGTAACACCTTAAAGACAAATTTGAGGACCGTTTAAACTCCTCTTTCAGTGGAGCTTTTAAATGTGCAAAAGCTGTAGAAGCTTTTATGCTTCCTGGCAAGTCACTCTACTAATTCAGAGACCGTAATTGAAAAAGACTGCTTTAAACCTATTTTCCTCACTTTACCGTTGGATAATGAGAATGGAATCTCCCCACAGATCGTAAGGGATAATCAAATTCCCATTTCCACCCTAAATTTCCTGCTTCCTATTACTTGCCTGTATATTTGCAGGGAGCACCAATTTTCAGAAGACCCAAGAAAAACACGGTCACCACTACTTCACCGCACTAAAGACAGACAACTGTTGCAAATTTCCTCTCAGTGATCTCATTGCAGAAGGAGGTAATTGGGACAGAAGGCTGTTAATCTCCCTTACGAATTTTTATTTAAATGACAAAGCTTTCATCCAAACAATACTCATTTATTTCATCCAATCCAAAACACCTGGAATACAGCAAGCTGTATCTTGAACCTACTACTTGCACGTGGGTACTATATAGCACATGCAACTGTAACGTTGAATCCACATGCATTTTTAATTCTAGCCTTTTAACTTCTAACCTGAAATACGCACAAAGTTATTACAAGCGTTCACATACTTCGTCTGCACAGATGAAGCAACTACTTCACTGTTAGAAGATGGCTCTCTGACGGAGATAGGCAATTGTAAGAGGCTGGGGGATGCTGTAGAAGGAAGGGTTCTGTTCAAGTGTAAACTGGCCATTAGTCCCACGGCCGTCCCCGTGATGGGAGCGGGATTACCACAAGGGCTGCTCTCAGGTGGACTACCCGGCCAGTGTGCTTTAGTAGCAGCATCCCCCAAATGCTTCTAACACCTGTGTCAGACAATCAACATTCTTCAGAAATGCGTAGTTCTTTTTAGCTTATAGAAAGGATAACTTCACTGCTTAAGATACGAGGTTTGGGGTTTGGTCTTGTTGTTCTTGTAACTTAACCCTCAGAAGAACTAACTGGAATAATGCCAAAGGCCTTAGTTCTAATGCAATCTAAACCTGAACCATTAAACTGAGATCTGACTAATTCCTGTTCTGAGCCAGGGCTGTTCTCCTTTAAGAAAAGCCCAGCTGCCTGCTTAACAACCACAGGCCCCTTTACAATCCAGGTATAAACGCTCACCTGGATCCACAAGGGGTTTTCCAAATCTGAAAGGATTTTTTTTTCCTTTTCATCTCTAAATTTTTCAGGCAGGCATTATTTTCTACTAAGCTTTCTATAAATTCAACTTAACGGTGCTCTATTGGCAAATGCCAATTGTTACTACACTTCATTGCTTAGGATATCTTTTTTTTTTACTATATGAATGTGTTTAACTTAAGCTTAGAGCCCGTCTTTAAAACTAGCTGTTAAATTACTAAGCAAATGGGGGTTTTAATGGAAGGACTGACATATTCTTAACTATGGGAGCGTCAATGGCTCCAGTATAAGATTACTCAAGTCCATGTAGAATACAAATGCAATACAGGACCACAGGTTCAGATCTTTGATCTCCTTTTTTGCAGAGGCTGTGATGTATAAAGCCAATTCCACTGAGCAGACAGTACTACGCTGAATATAAATTATCCTTTAACTATAGTGAGGCTCACATTTAAAGAAATGCTGCAAGGATGAACAATGCAGCCATGAAGCAGAGTTCTTCTGTAGCAAAAATACAGACCAAGATCTGCATGGATAACCATGGTTTTGAAAGACAAATTTTTCCTCAGCTGTTATTTGATAAAAAATAGAGTCAAATCTGGAACATTTGTACATACAGAGGTACAATTAGAGCAGACTGCTTGCTCTTTCTATAAAAAAGTGAGCTAGGAATACTTGCTTTATTTTCCAGATTAAGCATCATTCCCCTAAGCAGCATAACAAATGATTTTAAAATGTGGAAACCAACAGTCTCAACTGAATATGGCTTGAAATTTAAACACATCTTTTCCAGATCTCTCTTTAGAGGAAGAACCTTCTGCCTACTGAGCTAACACTAAGCTCCCTGGAGTTTAGCCATGAATATTCTAAACCCATCTCTTACAATTCACTAGAAGTCGTCTTTTGCCAAAATAAAATGCTTAAGAGGAATTCAATACGCTTACGCTGCTTTTCTTCATTTTATTTAAAATAAGTGTTTCCATCTCAACTTTATGCCAAATATACAGCAGGAGAGAGACTGAGCTGTGGAGCTATTGCCTCAGATTTTGTACACAACTCAAATGGGAAAACAAATTACTTCTGAGAACATCGGATATTTCCTTTTGTTTTATTCTATATAATTTTGTATTTAACCGGCTCTTTTGCAGTTATACATAAATACTCCTGAGGATTCTTACAGGAATCTCTCTGCTGCTTACGTAAGTTATAACTAAGAAATGGTTCTTTCCCACTCTGTGATGTTTATTTGTGCGCCAACTTTGTTTGTGTGTCTGGAAATGTTAGCAAATAAATAAATAACTTTTTTCTATCTTACCTCTTTTGACCTGTGTAATCTGGCAGATCAATGCTACTTCCACTGCTGACAACCAAAAAGTTGAAATTTATCTTTGCTTAACCTTTTTGTTCTCCTTAGGTCTCCTTTCAGTAAGGCTTGAAGAAGGTGCTCTTTGTGGCTCAGTTCTCTATGCCAGAATAAAATTTTGCACAAGAAGAACACAAGGGCGAGTTGATAATATCTACTGTCCTCAGCTCTGCTCGGGTTCAATAAACTTGAACATCTTCTCCCCTCCTTTGCCAATCGAGATAAGCAGCAACAATTACTCAGAATGTATTATCAACTCAAGCTCAGAAAGTCGGGATCAGAGGAGTCAGCTCCACCTCTCAAGCTTACAGTTGCTTTCAGTGTCCGAGAGGGGCAAATAAGTCCCCGTTTGCCTCTTGACATACACCTCACAGCTACTTCTTACAGGCAACTACGCCAAGGCTGCAAAAGGAAAATGAGATAAATCCTCTGCTTTCCAGATCGCCTACAAGGTCTCTGCCTGTAGCCGGCAGGCTGTAAGCTTTGTGCCATTATGGCAAAAGTCACAAATGAACCATCCTTCTCTTCCCCAAACGGTAACATTCTCTCCTTGCCTTTCTGTGCTCTCCATAGCTGAAACCAAGAATTCATTGGACACCACTGCAATGCCTCTAACCAATTCTATCTGCATCCAGAGCTTGAGTAAATGAAAATATATTTCAGCTTGGTCTGGTTTTTATCCCATCCCAGTACTCCACGTATACAGCAACTTTAAGCTTACAGACATCCCTTCACGGTTCAAGAAAATCCTTCAATCAAAGAACTTCATTTACAATCCAGCATGGTTTTTGCTTTCTCGTCTCTCCACAGCAGCTAGGCATTTTGATGCAATCCTCATTTAATGCAATCTCCATTACAGGATTATGATCACATCAATAAAACGTTCCACATATTTTTTTTCCCATCCCTCTCCCTCTCTCATTAACACTAGGCGCTATGTCTGCAAAAAACACCAGATCAAGCAGGGTGACGGGATGCTCCAGGGAGGTAGCGGGGGCCACACGTTCAACAAAATGCAACAGCCAATGCAAACTGCCCATCAGAGCCCGAGACCGTCGATCTCCCCATTCCTGAGCTGTGTGAGTTAGCTCACTGTCCGCGCTGCGAGCACAGATCATAAACGTGCTGTGTTACCAGCCTAGAAATAAATACATCGTTTGCAGTCACTTGTGAGCTCCGTGTACTTTTCACAGGAGCAGACTTTCATTTTACTTGATCAGTTCCAGCCTATTAATACTGTTCTGGATGAACTGCTGATGCTCTGCTGAAAGGGGGATGCTGGAGAAAAGATGTCACATAAAAGGATATAAACCCCCCTCTTTTCCCCAAGCCCCCTTCTTACCTTCAGCGCCTTCTCTGCACAAGACGTCAGTCTACACGGGCTCCTCAGCGCATCGTCAAGGCGTTTAGAGTAATGAAGGCTGCCCCACTGCATGGAAGTTAGACCGCTTTGCAACAGCAAATCCTCGATCCAAAACACAAGCCGCTTCTTCCCGTGCGGTTGTGCCGAGCACGATTCATAAGCGACTTCCACATAGGGAATAGAATTGTAAAAGAAAAGGGGGGGGGGGGGGGGGGGTCTTATATTT